AAATAATTGAATAAATACACACAGTAAATATATTAAGCAAACCGCTAAGAAGTGGCTAAGTGTGAACTTCATTTATAAATAACAGTAGAATTATATATTCTATTAATAAATGCTTAATGTTTGACCAAAAAGGGGGCGCAATAAACAAGGGGGCACAATAAACAAGGGGACCCAGCGGTTAGCTCTGAGTTAGCTTAGAAATCGCTAAAGTAAACAGTATAAGCTAAAGTTAGCCACCATGTAGCATGTACCCAGGGTGAATTATTATGTTTTTCAGTTCAAAGAGCGACGCACTGTAGCTTTAAGAGGATTGTGCGTTACAGCAGCTGCTGTTTCTGCTGCTGTTCTCTCAACTGTTCCTTCCTTGTTTACGTTCTGACAGGAAGAGCCCATTACGCTGACTGCGTTACATAACTCTCACCTTTAACTGCATTTGGGGGGGTTTGAAGTCGCAGACTGACAGACTGAGGTGTATGAACACAAAAGAAAGAACTGTGCAGCATCGGCAGCTGAGAGCACAGACGTGGAGGGAAGCCTGAGGTTTCACTCACACAGATAAGACTGTGTGAACATCCTGAAACAGAGACGTACAAACGCACTGCAGTGAAACGGAGAACAGGATCCGTTTGGATCAGAGGGAATAACACAGACAATCTGAGCCCTGTTGGAATGATAGATGGAAATTCCTTTAAGGACACTTGAGCTGTAAAGACCAATCACAGTTCACCCTGGCTCTGCGTGATGGAACTTGTCCGACAGTAGCTTTAACTGTTAGACTGAGACTTCAGGGTTTTTCAAGCATAACTGGTCACAGACTGACGGGTAAAACTGAACGCTCGCTGCACCGACACCAAGCCTGAATCTAAGACCAGAGAAGAAGATGTTCATGGCTGCTGATGTGGAAAGAAAACTTTTCTTAAACCACTTTACCTACGTTTGTTTACACATGAAGGAAATAAACTATAAGTCAGCAAGGAAGAAAGTAGATAAAAGTTGACAGACAGAATCAGAAAGTAAAAAGTTTAATGACATTATCTAAAATTAGCCCAGAAAAAAAGTAAACATTCATTGTTGTCAAACAAATGCTGATATAAGGGAGGGTAAGGTTAAAACAATTGTTCAACAACCGCCAAACTTAGTCAGATCTGTCTACAAGTTTGGTAAAATAACTAAAATAAACTAAAACTAGAGCAAATAGCTTATTTTCCATCCACTAGCTAAAACAAACGCTTACTTTAAGTTAGCACAGCAAGAGTTTGTTAGCCAAAACACATCTACATGAAACAGCAAATAGTTTATTTTACATCCACCAGCTAAAACAAACACTTACTTTAAGTTAGCACAGCAAGAGTTTGTTAGCCAAAACACATCTACATGAAAGTTTGCTAAAATAGCTCAAATGAGCCAAAGCTAACAGCAAATAACTTATTTTACGTCCACTAACTAAAACAAACACTTACTTTAAGTTAGCACAGCAAGGGTTTGTTAGCCAAAACACATCCACATGAATGTTTGCTAGTATAGCTAAAATGGGGTGAAGCTACAGCTAAATGATACCAAAGTGTTAGCATAGTGGAGAGACAATTTTGCTAGCTAGCTAAAACATATCTAGGGGATAGTAATAAAATTGATTAAAGTTATTTAAAATACAAAAGAAAGGCAAAAAAGAATCAGAGTAAATTGACGTCATCACAGTGATCACAGTCATCACAGTGATCACAGTAACTGATTAACTGTTTAACTGCTGCTGCTTATAAAAACCTGTGACTTCTGGTTAAATATGGAGCTAAAAAAAAAAAAAAACATGCAAAAGATGCCTTAAGGGGAAAGTTGAAGAGAGAGCAGAGTTGTTACCTCCGTCACAAAGACCAGGGGGATTTCACTGCTGGTCTTCCTCATGTCTGGTTTCCCTCCTCTTCCTCCTCTTCCTCCTGGAGGAGGAGTGGGGTCAAAGTACAGGCCTCTGCAGGTTCAGACTGAATCACTCTCACATCACAGAGCTGCGTCTGCGCCTTTGAAGATTCAGGACGACACTCTTAAATCTCAAGGAGGAGAAGTTGGACGGAGAGGAGGAGCAAGAGGAGAGGAGTGTTTATATATATGAGTGAGCGTGTGTGTGTGTGTGTGTGTGTGTGTGTGTGTGTTTCTGGTATATCTGTTCTTTTGGGCACATTGTTGTGAAAGTACTATTTTTGTGAGGACACGTTGAATCTGAATTTAGTTCATAATGGAACTGAGGCGGATCAGGGTCAGACATGTGTGACAACAGGTGAGTTCAGGTGTCGGTGAATGGGTTACTCACAAAACACAAGAAGGTGTGTGTGTGTGTGTGTGTGTTGTGTGTGTTGTGTGTGTGTGTTTCCAGGGGGGGGGTCGTTTTTCTTCATTTCCTGTCCATACCTAGCCTCAGGTTCATACCAGCTGATCTGCATCACTCTCCAATCCCAGCATGCTCCTGCACAGCCTGGTCTTGTGATGGAGCCATTGTCTCCGGTGATGTCACTGATTTCCCCCTCTCCAAGGAGACGGAGACCTTAAAAGGCACCAACACCGAAGGAGGGGAGGGAGAAGAGAGGGGGGGGGGGTGAGGGTGAGGAGGGTCCCTGTGGCATATCAGTCTCCCTCTAGTGGCTCACACATTAATCAACACAATCTCCTGCTGCCAATCATGAAGGCGGAGAAAGGGGAGGAGAAGGGGGGGGACGGGGGGTGAGGACGGGGGAAAGTTGAGTTAGTGCAGACTCACTGTGCAGGATGGAGACGACACTGAGTCTGCAGGGGCCGATAGCTGCACTATACCGTGTGTGTGTGTGTGTGTGTGTGTGTGTGTGTGTGTGTGTGTGTGTAGATTTAACATTTGTATTAAGTTAACGTAAGGTTGTGTCGCCAGAGAACGGATGGTGTCTACAGTATGTGAAGTGGTCACAAAACACACAAACCAGTGTAGCGTGTGTGAGTAGACTCCACCCCCTCAACCACCCCCACCCCCCCATTCTCAAAGTCACACTTTACGAGCAGGAACAGGGCGTGAGCTGCATCCTGTCAAACTTTCTGCCAATTTTATGGATCATATACGAACGTCTTTATCCAGCTCCATCCTTCACTTCAACCTCAGGAATTTTATTTTATAATACACTCAGTCCAGTGTTCAGGGCCATGGAAGTTGGAGCTGATCCCAGCAGTCACCTGCTGACGGACGACCCACCGCTCAGAGTCACATTCACACCTATGTTCAGTTTAGAGCAGTGGTGTCCAACCCTTGGCCCGCGGGGCCACTTGTGGCCTGTGAAGCGCTCACATCAGGACCCTGATGTTAGATGTCAAGAATAATTTGGTCCTTGATGTGTTTTTTTTATTTTATTTTATTTTATAATAATTGAATGACTTTAGTTTGTCTAGTTGGGTTACAATAAGTGAGAAAACAAATGTACAAGTAACACCAACCAACAGACATGCTGTATGTTTGCACTGAGAACAAAACAGAATCATTCAAATCTGACCGAGGTGCGTTCAGGTAGCATCGGAAATTGGAATTGGTAACTTAAAAAAATAATTCGATTTTTTGTTGTTGTTGCATTTTTCCAATCGTCAATCCAATTTACTGGTCCTCTACCGCCCCCTGGGGACCACCACCAGTATTATAAAGTATTTATGTTTTACAAAATAATTTTCTAAATTTTTTTTTTTTTTAATACTGAACATCAAGCACTAATGTGACCGTCCAATGAAATGAAGTAGCTGGTTTAGAGTGAACAAGGTGTGACTATGAAAACAAACAGCATGAAACAACTACGGGCACAGGCTTTAACATGTATAATAATAACAACAGGTTGACATCAGACCGACATCTAAATGTCAACGTCAGCCTCTACACTGAGAACAAAGTCACACAGAAATGAAAGTGTGATATTTAGGCAGCAAAAAGGGAGAGGACGCTAAAAATATTTATACGAGAATCTTAGAAGATGAGACGCCAGGAGAGAAATGAATAAGAAATCTGGAGAGTCTGAGTAGGAGACGAAGAGACAGACAAAGGACAGACGCGTTAAAAAGATGAAGTGATGGAGCAGCAGAGGAGCAGGTGGAGGAAGAGGAGGAGGAGATTTAGTGCAAACATGGCAGCTGGCAGGGAGCAGAGAAGACCAAAGAAGGTAAGAGAGGAGGAGGCGTTTGGATTTAAAATTCCATGGTCAGTGTGTCGGCATCACAGCCAGCTGGCACTCACACTCCTGCTGCATCAGCAGAACACAGGGCAGAGGGACATTGTCTCCATCAATCAGACAGAGGAGACACCAGCTGAGGTTGGACACAGAGTAGTAGAAATTTTGTCTCCCACTGAAAAGCAGACTTTTCCTAAGCTAAAAATGAAAACAAAGGACTTTTCCTAAGCTAAAAATGAAAACATGGGGGGGGAGGGGGGACGTCCCCTCCTGGATGTTGAATCAAATCACACAAATAAAGTAGGTATATTAAAAAACATATAGGCCTAAGCTGGGGTATACCTGGAAAAAAAAACCCCACACACAGAGAGAACAGGAAAACTGAATGAAGAAAAGACTGGGGATCAAACCGTCCATGCTAATGCTGTAAGGCAGGCACATTACCCACATCTCCCTACATGTGGTCCTATCTGTTTATAAAGCTTTTTTAAAAGGTACTAATATAGTACTCAATTTGAAAGACGTCAACTGAATGTTTTTGTATTTATTTGTGGGACTTTGTGGTGTCGACTGTTGGACTGATCGGTTGAAATAATGCAGGTTTTAACTTTGAATTAACAAATCGACACAATGTCGGCGTAGAGAGACTTTATTCTGGCCATGTGTGATACAGAAAACATAATTTACAGAGAAACTGCGGTCAAACTTCACTGAGTTGCAGCTTTAGGTGGAACCCACTCCTGGATCTTCTTGC